GTGGGGTCCCGGGGGCTGCAGGAGCTCCTGCTTCTCCCACACTATGTTGTAAACCGCTTTCCTCACCAGTAAGTACTCTTGTAGAGTACTTAAATGCAAATTATTCAACCCACTGATCATCCAAGACGGTAAGCGATATACAGTGAAAATACTGCTTGATTCTATTAGGCGTTAATTTACATCTTATCAGAAAAGCCCATTTCATCCTCGAATAAACAAAACCTTAGTCCTTCCGGCGGAGCTGAAGCGGATGTCTGCTGCCACCTGTGGAACTCTGCTCCCATTACCGGCGGTTACCGCAGCTCGGAGGGCCAAGTGCTTGCAAGACGTTCCCGCTTTCCCAAGTTTTTTCTTGAGTTTATTACATACAGATCTACCTTTTAAATCAAGGAAACTTTGGTTTGCCTTGCATTGTGAAAGCAGAGGGCCCTTCCTTGCCCCCCCCCTTTTCGCAGCTGTTACCCAGGAGATGCCACTACGGAAGCACCCACAGTCCATCACCAGGTCCACTGTGCTCCCTCCCCAATTTGTGCTGTCCCCCTACTCCCCCCTTGAATACCTTTGTTCTGCAGTCTGCTTTCAAGGGTTAGGTTTTAGTTTGACTTGATCTGACCCCTTGTCTGGTTTCTCTACATTCCATATACATACACATTGCGCCAACTGGTACTTACCTTTCTCAGTCGGACTTCACCTAGCATAGTCCCCTCCAGCCCCATCCATGTTGCTGAAGATGGCATGAGTTTATCTTTTTCATTGCTGAGTAATATTCTACTTTGTGTGTGTATACACAATACATATTTTTTTAAGATTTTTTATTTGTGCGTAAAGAACTGGGGTATAGGCCAGAGGTACAGGGGCGGTGAGAGGATTCACTAGAGTGGGGAGCAGAACAGGCAGATCAAAGTCCACTGCTGAGGGGAACAGCGGGGAGACAGGAGAGGTCTGCTGCGCCATGTGGATCACCTCTGGGGCCGGGGATCGAACTCTCACTGAAGTGGCTGCGGCCAGCTTGCAGTGCTACATCCTAACCTGTTGCAACACCAAGGAGACCTACATCTTTTCTTCTTCTTTTTTTTAACATTTTAATTTATTTTTGCGTAGAACTGGGGTGTAGGCCAGAGGTGTCGGGGTGAGAGGATTCACCAGAGCAGAGTTAGGAGCAGAACAGAGTGAGGAGTGAAATCCACTGCTGAGGAACCAGCAGGTGACAGGAGAGGTGGCTGTGCCCTATAGGGCAGCTCCATGGTGGGGGTCAGACCCAGGCTGTGGGGGTGACAGCACTGAGACCTGGCCCTAGGCCACCGGGGGGGGGGCCTATATGTATCTTCTTGGTTCAGTTGCCCCTGTTTGGGGCAGCTTAGGCTGTTTCCATAGCTTGGCTGTTGTCAGCAGTGCTGCAGTGAACGTGAGGGTGCAAGTTCCCCTTTCGTGTGCTTATGTATTTTTCAGATAGACACTTAGGAGCAGAATTGCTGTTTCCCGATCTCTTAACCATCATACAGCTTTAGAGAGGCCCATTTTCTCAAAAACACTTGTAGTTTTTTCCTTGGTAAACTGCATTTGTGGTAATATATTTTAATGTATTAAACAGTTTGCAGATGCTGAATCATACTTGCATTCTTGGAATGACTCTTTTCATGATCTGTTGAATTTGGCTCGCTAATAGTTCACTGAGGGTTTCTGACTCTATATTTGCTGGGGAAATTGACTTGCATTTCCGTTATGGCATCTCTCTCTGGTGATAACATCAGGATAATGCTGGCTTTCCACAGCTGGTTAGTGATTCCTCTTGTATGTTTCTGGACGAGACTGAGAAGGGCATTAATTTTTCTTCGCATGTGTGGTGGAATTCATCAGGGAAGGAGTCTGGCCCTGGACTTTAGTTTCTTGGGAAGTATTTGATCACTGATCCAGTCTTTCTAATACTTTGATCGGGTTTTCTATTTCTTCTGATTCAGTCTTGGTAAGTTTTCTGTTTCTAGGAATTATCCATTTATTCTGGCTGTCTGATTTGTTGGCATATAGTTATTCACAGCAGTACCCTAGGGTCCTTTGTGTTTCTGTGGTGTCGGTTATAAAATGCTCTCATTCACTTCTCATTTATTTCAGCTTTTTCTTGGCATGTTGAAACTAAAGTTTGTCCACTTTATCTTTTCAAAAGCCCACTTAGTTTCATTCATTTCTCTATTGTTTTTCTACATTGTTCCATGTAAGTTCCACACGCTACTTGTTTTCCTTCTTCTAACTCTGGGCACTGTTTGTTCTTTTTCTTGTTCCTTGAGTTATGTTATTTGAGTTTTTTTTTTTTTGTGTGTGTGTGTGTGTGTAGGTATTCACTGTCAAGAATGTCCCTCTGAGAACTGTTTTTGCAGTGGCACACAAATGCTGCCTTGGAAGTATTGACTGGTAGATATGTACTTGCTGCCAGTATGGAAAACTGTTTTCTGAGTGACTTGTAGTTTCTTCCTGTTCCTTCTCTTTCTGCTCTTGCTTATTCCACATGTGGTTGATAGCTTCCTTCAGTGGTACATTTACATTACTTTGACTTTTGTGTATGTACTATCGGTTTTTGCTTTGGGCTAACATAAAACTTGCATTTAACAACTTATAACAGAGTATTTTAAGTAAACAGCCATCTAAGCTTAATCATATTGTAATATTCCATATTTTTATAGCCAAATATGCTTACAATTTTAAAATATCACATTTTATCTTTTTACCTTGTGTATCCCTTAACTATTGTAGTTTTAATTGCTACTTAAACTTTTATACTATTTTTATATGTGATTTACCTTTACCAGTGATATGCATGTCCTGTGTTCTTGTTATCTTCAGCTTAGAGATGTCACTTTACTATTTCTTGTATGACCAGCTTAGTAATGAACTCCTTCAGCTTTTCCTTGGCAGGAAAACTTTATCTCCTTCAGTTGCAAATGGTAAGTTTGGGCAGAATATTCTTGGTTAACACAAGTTTTTGTCTTTTAATTGAGGTAACATTGGTTTACAATTGTGTATATGATTGAGAGATGTGAGATCACATACTCCAGATGTATGTTACTGCCCCACACCCACTATCCAGGCACCTGTGGTTCTCCACCTTAGTCCACTGGCTCCCTCCTCTTCCCCTCCCCTCCTGGTAGCCTCACCTCTACAGCCAGGTTTCTAGAGTTTGTTATTTGATTTTACCTGAAACTTTCTTGTGTTTCTCTATATTCCACATTAAAAAAAAAAAGTATCTGGTACTTGTCTTCCTCCTGACTTACTTTTCTTAGCAATTGCCCCATCCAGTGCCATCCATGTTGTAGAGCACATCTTCGTAATCCATTCATGTGTGCTCAGGTACTTACATCGTTTGCGTAACTTGCCTTTTGTAACTAGTACTGAAACTAAGATCGGAGTGCACACACCCCTCAAATTAGTGCATTTGCTTCCTCGGGTAGATACCAAGGACTGGATGTATTTTTAATATGTTGGTGTCAGTAGGGCCTGGACCTGCCTACACACACACCGCCAGTGTATGGGGGTTTCTTTTCCTCCACATCCTCACTAACACTTGCTATTTCTGGTCTTTTTGAGCTGGGCCATTCCCACAAGTGTGATGGTTTTGATCTGCATTTCCCTGATGACAGGTGATACTCATTTTTTTTTTTCATGTATCTGTTGGCATCTGTCTTCTTCAAGAAGTGTCTATACCACTTTGCCAATTTTTTGATAGGGTTACTTTCCTTTTCCTTTTGTTGATTCCTGTAAGAGCTGCTCATTAGATTACCATGTGCAATTACATGCTCCCACTGGTCAGGGGTGAAACCTTTTGCTTTAGTGAAACCTTCTCCACTGTGCACAAACTTTTCAATTTGATGCAGTCTCATTGGTCTATATTCTTTTGTTTCTCATGCTGCTGGAGACTAATCACTGAGGTCCATATCGTGGAGTGTTTCTTGGAGTGTGTATTTTAGGGTTTCAGGCCTTACAGCCAAGTGTAATCCATTCAGAGTCAAGTCAAAAGAAATCCTTTGTGTTTGTTTGTTTGTTGTTTTTTAATGATTTATTTATTTGTGCACACAGAACTGGGGTACAAGCCAGAGGTGCTGGGGTGATGAGAAGCTTCACCAGAGACAGTGGGGAGCAGAACAGGCAGATTGACGAAGTACACTGCTGAGGGGAGCAGTGGGTGGGCCAGGAGGGGTCTGCCACACCATGTGGATCACCTCCAGGGCAGGGGATCAATCTCTCACTGAAGCAGCTGCGGCCAGCTTGCAGTGCTGCATCCTGACCCATGGCACCACCAGGGAGGGCCCAATCCTTCATGTTTTAAGATCACTTTATACTCTGAAAGATAAAGTCTCCCTCATCTATTCAACATCTTTCATGAAATCATAATTTCTGTAAAGTTTCATGTTCCTTCTTTCTTGACTCAACCACAGCAAACTCACAGAAAGCTGCAACCCCACATCATACAGTGAGTGTTCTAACAATAGGAAACAACAGGTGTGTGACCAGAGGTCTCTTGTCTGAGGCTTTAACAAAGCACAGGAAGTCCTAGTAGTTGTCTTTAATGTGGACGCCCTCCCACATGAAGGAGATGGAGAAATGGAGAATACCTGAACGGCCATGTGTGTCAGTTTATTCCTGGGCTCTCCATTTGATTCCACTGGCATCTGTCTGTTTTTGTTCCAGGAACTGTTTTGTTTACCATAGCCTTATAATGTAGTCTGAAGTCTGGGAGTGTGAAACTACTGTTCTTCTCAGGATTACTTTATATATTTTGACTTTCTTTGGGTTCCATATGAATTTCAGTAAGAGTTGTTTTACTTCTTTGAAGAATGCTATTTAAACCTTGATCTTTTTTTTTTCAACATTTATTTATGCACACAAGAACTGGGGTACAGATCAGTGTGCAGGGAATGAGAGGATTCACCAGAGGGTGGGGAACAGAACGGGCTGATATACTAAAATCCACTGCTAAGGGAGTTAGCAGGGAGACAGGAGAGGTCTGCTGCACCCTGTGGGTCACTCCCTGGGCAGGGATTGATCTCATACTGCAATAGCTGTGGAGACCTTCATAGTGCTGTGCTCTAACACATTGTGCCACAGGGAGGGCCCAAACTTTAATAGGTTTTGCATTAAGTTGGTCTATGGCTTTGGGTAAAATGACTGTTTCCTCAGTGTTGATCCTTTCAATTCATGAGCATGGATTCTTTCCATTTCTGTCTTTTAACAGTGTCTTCTACTTTTCATTGTAGAGATTCTTCACTTCCTTTAACTTGGCCTGTGGTCACCTTTGCTCCAGCCCCAGAGTTCAGACTGCCCCTCCTGTGGGCCTGAGACATGTCTAACAGCTCCTGCCATCAAGTAAACTAAAGCCCTGGGATGTACATCCAGAGAAATCAAGAAGACAGTACATCTGTTAACAACTACAAATCCATGAAAATCTGTGATAAATAAAAAAGCAGAAGCAATCCAAATAAAACGAAGTACTAGCTGCTAAAGAAGCCCTACATGGCAGCCCAATTACCCAACATTGTTATCAAATGCAAGCAAGTGATACTAAATTGTTCATAGCCACTGTGTTATGCAAAATTTCCTTACGAGGCCAAAGGCTAAAATTACCAGCTAGTTTCATTATTCACCCACAGCAAACAAGCCACGGCCCACGAATTGTTCTTGTAGTTTTAAGTTGTTTAAAACAGGGGTGTGACCGACCCTACACATGGCCCAGGAAGCCTAAGACAGACCCTGCCTGGCACAGGTAGACGTGCGACTGCTGACCTGTCCCATAGAGAAGAATCTGCCGTCAGGGCTTTGTGGCTCACAGACACAAACAGACCATGGGAACCAAGAAAACAGAACCGGGAAATGGAACCACTGGGAAGTGAGACGCGACGCAGGAGACAGGTTTCAGCAGAGTCCGCGCTGCCCCAACGGCGGTGGCCACTGCGCATGCCCGGCGGAGCCGGCTCCCAGAGGTGAATCACACACCTGTGCGCAGGGCAGAAACTGCGGCTGGCGTGCGATGCCTGCGACAGTGAGCCCGAGTCTTCACACATGGCTCGGGCAAGACCCCTGCAGGTCTTAAAGGTGACACGCGGGAAGCAGTCGTGTGACTCCGGGCGCCGCCGACCCGGGTGGGCGTGGCAGGACTCCGCCGAGGGCCCCGGGTTCACCCTCCCTCTCTTCACAGCAGCGGCCGCTGTGCCCACGGACCCCCGAGTAGCCAGCTCTGCCCGGCCGACATGAGCTGCGGGACCCCCTTCCCTTGCCCGCGTGGCGCTGGTTCTTCCTGGAGGCGGAATGTTTCCTCCTTAGCTCCTGCCAGGCCGGTTGGCTGCAGTACATTTTCTTACCGTGCCTGGGGCCAGCCAGGTCTCCAAGTCCCCTCTTCAGGTGCTGTCTGCAAAGTCGCAGAGGGCGGGCGAGGGTCCCTGTCCTGCAACGCGCCCTGGCCAGGTGAAAGGCTAGGGACCTGGCCCCCCGGCCTCCTGATTGGGGGGCTCCCTAAAAGGAGGTGCATGCCTCGGCACCTTGGACTTGTGCCATTGTGGCAAGGGGGACAACAGACTCGCGGAGTTGCGTAGCGACCCACGGGGGCTGTGGGGACCCCTGTGGGGGCCTTGGCGCGGCCCTTACCTTGATCTGCAGGTTGATTTGCGCCTCCCACACCTTTGTGTGGTTGCCCGAAGGCAGCTCACATGGGGCCGCCTCGCCCTGGCTGGCTGGCACTCGCTCTGGGGTGGGGGCTACGGGTGCTGACGCGGGAAGCCGCCAGGCCCGACGCCCATCGCGCACCCCACACCCACACGTGCCGTCTCTGCGGGGAGGCAGGCCCCCTCCAGCGTGCCCGGGGCGCCCGCTGGTCTGTGGGTGTGGGCGCCCCGGTCTGCCTGCCCACGGCTTCCTGCCACCAGCCAGTTGCGCGGCGCTGGGCACGGCCTGCTAGGACGCCGCATGGACGCCAGCACCTCCCGCACCGGCCGCGGGCGGCCGTCTGGCTGCGCCACTGTGTCGCCGGACAAGTGTCCGGCTCGGGGTCACTGAGCTCTAGGAAGAGGCCCCGGGAACGTCAGCCACCGAGGACACGAACTGGAGCTGCCGGCGGTGCGGGCGGGGAGGCCGGGGACGTCAAAGGCCACCATGTCCTGCCTGGAGCTCTGGGGAGGCAAGGAAGGGCCGGAAGCCCCAAAGCCGGGGCCACTCAGCTGCACATGCGGCCCTGGCCGCGGGTGCTGGAGCAGGGCTCTGCCCGCCCGGAGCTGGCCTCCGGGCCGCACAGCCCCTCCTGGCCTGCCCCGGTGTGTGAGGCCCCGCAGCGGCACCCTGGCGCGTCGCTGGGGCCCCTGGGCAGGAGGCTCGGAGCAGCGAGCAGGGCCGCAGGGCGGCAGTGTCCGCTCGGCGGGGCGGCGGGCTCAGGCCTCGGGGAAGCGGGGCAGAACCTGGGCACAGCGGTGCGGCCCACGACGCCGGCGCTGGCTGTAATGGCGCAAGGGCAAACCCCGCGTTTCTAACGCAACAAAACACGCTAGGCCCCCGCGGCTGGCTGTGGGCGGAAGCCCGGCAGCTCCGGGGCGCCGCGGGGGACGGGAGGCCCCAACACGCCCCGCCAGGCCCCGGCCCCCACTGGGCAGTGGCCTCAGTGAGCACCTGTGGCTGCCCAGCTGGCGCCGCCCCACCCACTGGCCCCCCCTTCCCGAGCAGGGACCGCTGCTGCTTCCCTCCAGCCTGAGGCGCCCCGTCAAGTGTATGGTGGCCTCCAGGGTCCACGCACAGCGCCCGCTCTCAGCGATCCGCTGGGCAGGGAGACTGCCGAGAGCACTCCAGCCCGCTCAGGGGACACTTGGCTCCAGTGTTGCCAGCCCAGGGGCCACGGCCCGGGACGCCAGGGGCTGGACATGACACCTGGGCCTGCTCACCTTGGCTACCCGCGGGGCCCCTGAGGAAGGGGAAGGATCTCTTCTCCTGAGGTTCACTTTGACCAATAGCAAATTATACTTTTCAAGGGCAAACTAGGGAATCCCACCGGCAGTGGGCAATGAAAACTATGATAAAAGATCAACATAGAACACAGCAGGAAAGGCCAGTGCAAGGCCGGGAGCAAGTGGACAGGGAGGGGCAGGAGGGGTGTCCTCCACTCCTCAAGGCCCCCGCCGAGGCCTGGGGGAGGGGGGCAGCTGCGAGCCCCGGCCCCATCCCCCATCTCCGGGCCCTGGGATCCGGGCCTGGTGCGCCCAGGCCTTTTGGCCGCCCCAGCTGGCTGCAGTGGCCGCCCGCCCCGGTGAAGGCCGTGTGGGCTGGAAGCCCACCCCGCAAGGGAAGGGCTGGTTCTGCGGCCGAGCTTGCCCTGGACCACACGGCCAGGGAAATGGCCATGTGGTTCCGGCTGGGGGCAGGCCTGTGCTGTCCCAGAGTCCCCTGCACCATCCAGTCTATGCCAGTTATGTCACAGGGTGGCCCTCCCCCAAGGCCAGGACTTAGGGTGCGGGCTGCCCAGTAGGGGTGCAGGTCCTGCCCCCAGCTCACGAGCACCCTTCAGTGAAGGGGCTGACACAGAGGGCCTCGGCCAGCACCAGGTGGACACGCGGTCCAGGTGGGGCTGCAGATGAGTCAGGCAGGGCTCAGAGGGTGGCCAAGTCCTGCAAGCAGATACTGCCCGGTGCGGGCTGAGGGGCGGGCAGTGCTGGTGCCGGCGCTGCTGAGTGGACAGCACATAACCAAGATCGGAGGAAGGCAAGTGTCACGGCGGTGTGGACACTGTGGGTGGGGCAGGCACCTGGGCACCGGGGCTCTGAACACAGACCAGGTGTGCTGGAGCAGGGCAGCTGGGGGGCGGGCAGATGCGGGTCAGGGCGGCCGGCGCGGACTCGTGCTGGGCGTCCCCGACGTGCAGGCGGCCGGGCGGCGCGAAGGCCAGGCGCGGGAGTGCTGCAGGCGGCCTGGGTCTGCAAGGAACAGGGTCTCTGCTCACGCCACAGGCCCTGGAGCGCTGCCCGCCAGCCAGGGGCCTGGTGCCGCCGGGGGTCCTCTCCCACAGCTACGGTTTGCGCAGGGGCGGGCCTGGGGAGGCCCCCAGCTCCCGAGGGTCTCCCAGCGCCGCCGCCGCCCTCCCGGCCCAGGGCTCTCAGTCCTGGCGGGGCCTCACCCATGAGCCTGACAAGCTGTGGGACCGGAGAGCAGGCTCGCGAGCAGGCGTGCAGCTGGGGCCGGCCACGGCCAAACGGGGGCGGCCAAGATTTATTTCCAGGGGAGCAGTCCCAGCACCGTGGCCCAGACAGCCAGCGGTCTACAGAGCCGCAAAGGTGGCCATACTCTCCTCCAGCCGCTGCAGCAGCTCCCCTGGCTGCGGTGAGAGGGCGCCGGTGTCCACCTTCTGGAAGTCAGGGTGGGCCACGAGGGACGCCAGCACCTCGGCAATCCGGCCAATGTCAAAAGCAGCCTGCTGGGGGCCCAGGCCAGGGCTGGCGTCTTCCGGCCCACCATCTGTGAAGACGCATAGTCTTCTCTCGGCAATGACCTTGAGGAACTGGTAGAACTCTTCAAAATTGATCCCTGAACAGGCCCTCAGAATGACCTGGGTCAGAGGAGAGGCCTGTGAGTTGCTGCTCGCTGGGTGTCTCGGGCCAGTTTCTGCTGACCACGGCTAGAGGCAGGCCGCAAGGGTCCCTCAGACCCGGCCAGTCACCCAGAGGAGGGCTGACAGCACTCAGCAGGCCCGAGGCCCCAGCCTGGAGCCAAGCCCACACCCCAGACACCGCCGCCCCGCAGCCCTGCGGCCCCCGCACCTGGCAGTGGTGGTGCCAGTCGGGCATGGCGTCCCTCCACTCGGCCACTTCCCGCTGCACGGCCTGCAGCTCCTGCTGAAGGAAGTGCCACATGCTGGCCAGGTTGCAGCCGTTCACCCAGTTGTGGTTGACAGAGATGGTGTCCTCCTGTGGGGGTGGGGCGGGCAGGTCCGTGCCACTGGCCTCACGGCTGTCCCCAGCTTGTGTGACACCCAGAAGGGGTGGGGAGGAGCCGCTCGCCTCCCACAGGCACAGAGGGGCCAGGGTCGGGTCACTGGGTCATCAGCAGCCTCAGAGCTGGCCCCAGTGGCCCAAGGAGGACACCACACAGGCACACAGGGCAACGCAGAGGACGCAGGCGCCAGTGCTGGGGTCCGGACTGCCAGGACAGCAGGGGGCACGACCTACCAGGTTGTGGACTTGGTGGTGCCAGCCGCTGGGCACAAACACCATCTCACCCGCCTCCTGCGTGACCTCCAGGGGCGGGGCACCACGCTCGCGCAGAGCAGGCACGGTCACGTCGTAGGGCAGGCCACCATGGCGGTCACGCAGGGCTTCTTCCTGCCCTGGAGGGAATAGGAGCCACTTTTTCCTCCCACAGATGTTGACTGACCAGCTGTAGGAGCGGAAGATGTCGGCATGGAAGGGTGACCTGCGGCAGAAGCGGGGTCAGTGCCCACCGGAGGTGCAGCACTGTGCGGGGAGGCGCGCGGCGGGCGGGGCTCACCAGCTGCCGGCAGGCCCCATGTAGACGAAGCGGTAGTCGTCCCGGCCCACGGCGTCCCAGTACTCGTTCAGCCAGTCGGAGGAGAAGTACACGGGCAGGGAGAACACTTCCTCCGACGAGGCGTCCCTACAGGGCGGCCATGGCGGACCCCAAGGCGCCCACCCCCACCGGCTACGTGAGCGCCCCAGGGGCTGCCTGCTGCCACCAGATGCGGCCGGCCACAGCCAGGAGAGGCGGCTCTGGGGTCCTGTAGCCCCATGGGGCTCACAGCACTGCGAGGGGCACTGGTCTCCTCAGTTCAGGGCCCATGCACACACCAGGGTGTCTTCTGTGCCCACCTCTCAAGCCTCTCCACCCCACACAGCTGCCAAGGGAGGCTCAGATCCCCTCACACGCGGTCCAGCCATGCTCCAGGGCACCTGGGGCCAGGGTGAGGGCGCCCCGCCACAACGCGCCCCTTGGGAGGCCACCCAAGGCCTCCCTGCCTGCCTCAGGCTGCCTCCCACTCTTTCTGCTTGCAGGGCGTTCAGAAACTTCCAGAAGCACGGGCAAGGTTCAGGGCAAAGAGCACCCCCAAAGCCTGGGTGCTCCTGCCAGGCCGGGTCACAGGCCCGCCCGAGCCCACCCTTCCTGGAGCCAGGCAGCATCTGGTCACACCTGACACTGCCCTGGGGGGAGGGGAAGGGGGGCACTGTGCAGGGGCCACTAGACCTGGGCATTCTGAACCTCGGTTTCCACGTAAGTCACCCAGTCATGCCCTGTTAGCTGAGTGATCCCTGTGCCAGACAGAACCCCAACCCGCCTGCCCAGGAGAAGGGCATGCTGGGAGGGCTCGCAGGAGACACAGAGCCTAAGCAACAACCCAGTAAATGGGGTGCAGCAGCAGAGGCTGGGGGCCCCCGGAGAGGCAGGTGAGGCCACACAAGGAGAGGACTGGACAGGGGCCACCTGCTCTGCTCAGGGCTGAGGACACCTGGGGAGGGCCCCCGCCAGCCTTCAACAAGTCCACCTGCCACAGGCCGCGAAGGGGACAGCTGGAGGGGGGGGGGGCGGGGCACGGCGCCCCCAGCCCCAAGGCAGGCTGCCAACGTGCTGACCACACTCTGGCAGCGCGCAGCCTGGCGGGCGCTTCGGGGCTCCCCTTTACCTGCACAGGTGCCAGTCTTTGAGGTAGAGGCAGCCCCGGGGTGAGGCATAGCCCCCCTGGATGTGCTCCCTCCAGTAGCTAATGTAGTCTCTGAGGGGCATGTGTTCTTTGGGGTTCGCGTTGTACTCCCGCAGCCCGCAGTTTGCGACAGGCACAACCATGTCTCCTGAAAGGGGAAGCGCCGCAGCCCGTCCCCTGGGTGTCCCCCTCGCCCCCCACCCGACCCCTCGGCCCCGAGCCCGCCCTCACCC